TATAGCGTTTTGTGTCGATTGCTGACGTCATTAGAATTTTCCATTTTAGAAAAACAATGCGCTATATCTCTTTATTTTGCCTGGTGACCTATGTTCAAATTTTGCATGCTGTATTGCACCGCTAAAAACTTTCATTATACAAAAAATTAAAAAATTCTGTAATGCCAAAAAAATTTTAACGAAGAATATGACATTTTCGCATTTTCCAAAAAAATGGCATTACAGAATTTTTTTATATTTTGCTAATTGTTAGCTTTTCGTCCAAGTAAAATAATGCAAGAAAAAAAATTGGGGGTCACCATGCTTTTTTTCCAACTATACGAAACGATAGGCCATTTTGGAGTGAATTTCGTACACGTATGTCGTCATAGCAACGAGCTATCTGTTACTAAAACTAATATAATTTGAAATTAGAGTTATCAAAATATATAAAAAAACACCAATATCTTTTGAATAAATCCTAAAAATGCGTAGTTTGAACATGTCAAAGTGTTAAACACCTGAATTTTTGAAAACTGTATCGAGCCACCTTAAGGTGGTCGTAAGTTGCCCCACCAAAAACAATGTTAGTCGTGACGTCCTGTAATTACTGGAAAGGTCTATTGTGTATTATATGATTTTCAGCCCAGTGAGTTGGTTCGCTAGCTTATAACCATTAGTGTGTGGTCTGTTTCAAACGTCGCGCTTCTCATGTGCCGAACGCATTGAAAATAATAGATCATCAGCTGAAATGCCTCATTATCTACTGTTTGTTCGAAAAGCCTTTGACCTAATCGATCATAACATTCTTATATCCAAATTATCTAACTATGTCATTAATCCACATATCGTGAACTGGATCTGTGGCTTTTTAAGCAACAGATCACAGAGAGTTAAGCTGGCCAACGACTGTCTCTCCGAATGGAAATCAGTACCTGCTGGCGTCCCGCAAGGGACCAAATTAGGTCCCTGGCTTTTCCTAATAATGATTGAGGACCTAGAAATTTTATCATCGGACGGTACGGTCAAATTTGTTGATGACACGACGGCGTACGAGATCATTTCCAGAGATCAATTCAGCTCAGCACAAAAAAAGGTGGACGAAGTTGCCACTTGGTCATCTGTTAACAAATTTCAACTATACACCCGAAAAAGTGCAAAGAGATGCGAATATCATTTTCGAGATCAATTCCCGAATACGACAATCTTCTGCTTGATTAAAATATTATTGAAACAGTTAACTCGTGCACTTAAACTCCTTGGAGTAACACTCAGTAAAGATTTAAGATGGAATATACACATTGATTCATTAATCAAGAAAACATCTACAAGATTGTATTTTATCTCCCAACTAAAACGGGCCAACGTATCTCGTGAAGACATGATCAAGTTTTATGCTGCTTGTATACGTTCTGTTCTTTTTTATGCTTGTCAAGTTTATCACTATAACCTTTCCGAGTATTTAAGTAAGTCCTTAGAACAAATCCAAAAGTGGGCAATGATACCTCGTACAATTCGGCCCTCGAGCAAGCGGGAATTACTAATCTTTCTGACTGCAGACAACATCTATGTGATAAGTTTTTTTAGTAAAGTAATCGCGAATCCTGCAGACCGACTCCATGACCTTGCTCCACATAACGAAAATCAAAGAAACTATCTCAGGAACAGTTAAAGACCTTTTGCTATCCCAATATGTGAAACCAATCGATTTAAAAAATCGTTTTTAATATCCAGCTCTCTTCACTACAACAATAATATTTTTAATAACTCTAATTATGTAATACATTTTTGCTGCTTGCCCTCAGGCAAGCAGCATACTATTCTTGACGTAACATGAAGTTCTTCGCATTCACTCGTGCCCAGTGTCTTTGGCCGAGTTATGTAAAGCCGTTCCAAATCTCGACTTGCGTTTTCAAATGGATGTCCGGATTTTCAAACCGGAGGTATTTAAGTATGCAAAGTTATTATAAAAAGTGGGGGGTGCGGTTCTTTTTTATCGATGCTTCCCGAACTCCTTTGAGAGTTTGAGTCCTTTTTCGGAGAGCTGTCAGAGAGTTACATGTTTCGAGGTAAGTCGAGTAAAATCCAATTTTATATATATATTTACAAGCTCTGTTTACTTTGTGAATGTTCATTTTTTGCCAGTTAACGTATTGAGTCTAAATAGTTGATCATGATTGCTCAATACACAGATTAATCTGCATTTATTTTGCATTTATTTTGCATATTCGTATTCATTCAATCATCCTGAAATACCTTCTCAATCCGAGTGTCAGTGAACTCTATAATATCCAGTGAACTGTATATATAGATTATAGAGTGTGTATTTAATTTGCATTCCAAATTATGTTACTTCAGATAACATCTGGTCATTGGAACCTTAGTAGTAAAATGTGTCTATGGCCCATATTTGTGGTGGAGTCAATTGAGGCATATACACAGGCATAAAGTCATTGGAATTTATGTGCTGATTTATACAGTTACACCAACAAGTCGTGCCATCCTGACAGCTCGAAATATTCTATGGATTGTTACTTCAAAAAAATATAGACAGAAATGGTAATTGTTGAGAAATGACATTTAAAGAGAGATTGACATTAAAGAGAGATATATTGACAATTCTATTCCTCTGTTATGTCAGAGGCACGATCGACACTATGGGCCATTCTATTTAATGTCCAACCCCCCCCCCTCCCTATGGATGGATTTTTCTGCAGGGTGAAGTCCTACATTTGAAGTTGTTTCTGAGGGGTTAAGCCTGTCGGCATCCTTGATCTCTGCAATTTTTCTAAGGGGTATTGGGGAAAATTTACACATTTGTGAGGGTTTTGTAGGGGTTAAAATTTTCCTGCCTCATCCATGGGAGGGGAGGGGGGGGGGGGATATTAAATGGAATGGCCCTATATTGACATTAACATGAACAGTTATGACTCCGGTTTCTTTTGTTGAACATGGTTGTATGCAACTTAGTCAGGTTGTTAGTGCTGTCCTTCAAACTCCTCTGTTCAACTACATGTACTTTTCAATTTTCTTTCTTTAATTAAGATTGTATTGTCAAACCCTGGAACGTTCTATGTAAGAGAAGTCTGACATATTTTCCAGTTCTATTTCTTTAAAAAAATGCAAATTGCGTGCCTGTCTGTGCTCATGTACTTTTATGTTCATCGTCATTTCTGTCTATGTGTCTGTTTACTTCTACCGTGTGTGTATTGTATGTTTATATTTTGTGCACTTAGTCCACATGTCTTTTTCTTCATTCTCTTCTTCCTTCTCTTCTTTTAATTTGTATATGTTGAATATGTTAGTTTGTAAACGTAAAGTCAATTTTTGAAGAGTTGTAATCTCAATTTTTGAAATGAAATAAATCGTACATACAGTGTTTCTTTGTATGGGTACCAAGACCGCCCAGAGAATTTGCGGGGCTCAGGACAAATCTTCCCTGGGGCCTGACTGGAAAGTTTGGAAATTGCGCGGGGAAGATTTCGAAAATTTAAAAGTAAATGTATAGGATGTATCAAAATTGCGCGGAGAAGAACTTCCCTGCGCACAGCAAAGATTCCAGTCTGGCCCTGGGGGCCCCATTAAATCATTATTTCTAATTAGCTAGACCTTAACTAGACTGCATGTGGATGTACTGTAAGGGGCCCTCATTTTAAAGAACCTACTCAATTTTAGGCTTTCGCTCTCAAGTTGGGGCCCTATTAAGGTGGAGCCCAGGGCAATTCAACCAATTCCCCCCCCCCCTCCCCCCTCTTGGTTGCCCGGATGGGTACATGTAAATGTATTTTAAGCCAAATGAAAATAATTTTGTATTTAGTTTTCAGATATATTTGAGGTTTCAGTATTTGCCTGTGGATCCAAAGCAGCACTTTCCTTGCGATAGTAACCCCTAGTAAATAGTAGATTATTTGAAATTACCTCTAATACCTCAACAATTCAGCTTACTAGCTGCAAAAAAGTTTTCATTGAACAATCTATCTACAGTATCTATGTATTTGTTTGTAATGCATTCGGTAAGTGAGAAACGCGACGTTTGAAACGGACCTGCATGAGTCTTCCAGTACAGGGATATTGCCTTGCTCAAGAAGATCAGCTGGGCCAGTCAATTCCCAACCTGGTCCATGTGAATACAATCTCAAACATACATATATCTATCACCACGGGCACGTATATATACTGTATTAAGCCCGTATATATGGGCCAGCTAGGCCAGTTTGCAGGCGGGATATCACACTGTGGTACCTGGTTGATTTAACATTATAGGCTAAAATGTTCCAATTGTAGTTTCAGGATCTGCTAAAGGCCTCTGGGCTAGGCAGCATGCTAGATGCAGCTAATGTACACGGTCAGGTCGGTTCGAGTGTATGATATTTCGGAACTGAGTCTAGTTCATTCGATATCAATGCAATCTAGTAATCATAGTTTTTTGTTGCATGCCGTATATGGCATGCAACTTTCATATAGCTCTAAATTTCGTGTCGCGGTCGGTGAGCGTTGTACAAGTCACGTGGCAGATTCGTAAAAAAACGACAAATGCCGAGTTTTTCCGACGAGCATTTTCATGCCCGGTTTTCGTCGAGAAATATTGATTATTCGCCGAAAATTTACATAACTGAGCGCTTCAGAAAAATAAATCGAGGTAGGTAAAGCTTTACTGTTTTTAGCTTATCTTATATTCTGTTATTTGTTGTTATTTTGGAGCCGTTGTTCTCGCACTGATTAGTGATTATTTATCAATTATCAGGCGTTTTAATATGCCGCGAACGCTATCAAAATATTCGATTTTTATATACTCAAACTGAAACGGAGCCATTGTGCTCGCACTGATTATATTGTGTGCCAAGCTTCAAAACTACAGCATAATTTGTAAATAACATGATATATAAATATCAAACAAAATTTGAATGATAAATAGTATTTATACATACTATTAAAATTTAATACAAAGTAGCAACCATTGTGAAGTACGCATAACATTCAGCATGACATTCAACATGACATTCGATGCAGTGTAAATGAACTCATTTCAATCACTCGAACGTCAAAATGATAAATAATCATTTTCAATCTATTATAGTAATTCACCGTTTCCACGGGTTTTTTATACCTTTAAAAAGCTACAATAAAGCTAAATCTAAAGGAAATAACGTCATTTAGTTACACATTTGTGAAGGAAATCTAACAGTCAATTGCTTTCCATAAAACCTTGACCCACCTGACTTTGTTAATGTTATTATTACCGTCGCTTGCAACTAACTATTAACGGTCGCTTATAAAAACATTGCCTATTCGTGTGTTTCTGCTGGGGTCTACACCGTAGGCTAATTCGCGTGCGAATCTTAAGTTTTCTTATTTTGACATAAGGGACCGGTCATTAAGTATTTACTAGGGGGTGTGGAGGATATTTTTGGAGGGTACGAAAAAAAACACAGAACCTCTGAGGGGGTACGAAAAAAACAACAGCACCTCTAGGGGGTACCAAAATCTTAGTACTATGGGTACGGAAAAAAATTACATTTTATAATTATTGTTGAATATTGAATGTATTTATGCCCAAATTTAAGTTTGGAAAGAATTGTTTTACTAATGTCAGATGACAAGTAGGATTGAGTGTCCGTGGAACGTTTGGAGTACAAATCTGATACATCTGAATTGTCAATGCTAGCAAGCTCGCACCATTAGAACGACGAGGAAGTGTCACATTAAATGGAAGCAAATTTTTTCTGTTTGAAATAAACCCAATCTCGTTTCCAGAGCTCAACGATGGCTCTGAGTACGAAATTGAAACCAAAAATAAATTTTTCTGTTTTTTCTTACTCTCAACCCATCGCTAGTATGTCAGAATCAGAAACAGAAAAGACTGGTGACGAATCGGAGACTGCGGAAAATGTTGAGTGAAAATATATGGTTACCACTACAAGAAGTGGGAGAGCTATCACAAACTGGAGAGTTTCGAAATGTAGATAAACGCAAGACAAAAGTTGAAACAGAATTATAAACAGAATTATACGAAAATTTTTCCATAGGTTTTTGGGAGAGTATGGAAATATGTACTTGAAATTTCATTTATCCTCCACCCCCTTCAAGTAATTACTTGATGACCGGTCCCTAATAGCTATTTTTCAATAAATATACTGATATTTCAAACTTATTGAATGATCAATATTTTACGTTTCACGCCAGTTGTACCAAAAGTTTATGTAAGTGCTATAGCGAAGTTTCAGATGGCATGCAACATGTACGGACTGCGTACCTATTTTTTATTAATCGTAAAATCCTAGATTAAAGTATGTTGGTCGTTTGCAACTTTCCCCAATAGCTGGCTGCGAAACAAACTCTGTCGAAGTATTTAGTGTAATGTACGTTGGCCTGATTTCAGTTGCTGTCTATTCTGCATTTAATAACGGTTGAGCAATTGTGATTGTTCCGGTAACTTTTTAAAAGGGTCAAGATGGCGCCATATGGGGGAAAAGTGGCATATTGCACTTGTCATATCTTCGAAACAAGTTGGGTGACCCCAACTTTTTTTTTGTTTCTACTATGAGCATATCATGAACTTCACCCCTGGGAAGTTTCAGCAAATTCTCATTTCCAGAACAATTACTGATGAATCACATTACCAACAAGATATTTCACAATGAGCCCATCTTAAAGTGTTTGTTAACCCATCAAGCTGCATTGCGTCCCATTGCGACCTATTCTGATATTTTACTGTCTGACTTCAGACGAATATGCTCGTCAAGGAGGGTTAAACTATTCATTACCAGAGATCAGTAGGTGTACATCAGATATTGGTTTCTGCAGTTTGTCCTGATATGTGGTCGGGAAACTTAACACTGGTGTAACTTAACACTTGCCGGCTTTCCCGGGGTAAGTTAATATCATGACGGGCAAGTAAACATTTGATCTTACTTGGGCAAGTTGGCTTGCCACAAAAAGCTGGGCATCTAAGTTTATGTTTTCATTGTCGGATAATTTTTTATAGTGCATGTACCGTACTCTGTAGTCTGTACTTGATTCAAATTTTGTTTTTTATGAGCCAAAGCTAGATCTGAGGCAGTATAACATAGCCATATAGAGCAGTGAGAGAACGCACCGACAGGTTGTTCCCTTAACTTATACCTCCTACCTGCAAGTGAATTTTATTCAGGGCAACTAATTTTCATGTCCAACTTGCCCTGAGGGCAAGTGATATGTTGATAATTATGGTTGACCCCTAAATAAGCCATTTAAAAATAGGCTGATTGAGCTCTTTAATATTTAGCTTTGCTGACCAACACGTTTGCTACAATATCTTGGTGGTAGCAGCTTGCCATCACCAGAGTGGAAAATTGGTACCATATAGTCTCACCCCATATATAGCTACAACATCCTCATAACCTGGAAGGCGTTTTCAATGGCATTGTCATCAAAAGTAGCAGAAAAAAAAGCACTCACTGGAAAACATCTTTATGAATGTGAAGTTTGCGGGAAAAGTTTTAAATTTCCTAGCCATTTAGCGAGACATGAAATCATTCATTCTGATGAAAAACCTTATGAATGTGATGTTTGTAAGAAGAGATTTCAACAATTGACACATATAACCAGACATAAAAGAACACATACCGGATACAAACCTTTTGAATGTGATGTTTGTCAGAAACGATTTACAGAATCAGGTAGTTTAAAAAAACATAAAAAATTGCACACTGGAGACAATCCTTACGAATGTGATGTTTGTAAGAAGAGATTCGCATTGGCAAACAGATTAACAATGCATAAAAGAACACACACGGGAGACAAACCGTATGAATGTGATGTTTGTAAGAAGAGCTTTGCATTTTCAAGGAGTTTACGAATACATAAAAACACACACACTGGAGAAAAACCTTATCAATGTGACGATTGCAATAAACGTTTTACAGACTCGAGCAGTTTGAAAAAACATAAAAGAACACATACTGGCGAAAAACCTTATGAATGTGAGGTTTGCAAGAAAAGCTTTATATTTTCAAGGAGCTTACGAATACATAAAAACACACACACTGGAGAAAAACCTTATCAATGTGACGATTGCAATAAACGTTTTACAGACTCGAGCAGTTTGAAAAAACATAAAAGAACACATACTGGCGAAAAACCTTATGAATGTGAGGTTTGCAAGAAAAGCTTTATATTTTCAAGGAGCTTACGAATACATAAAAACACACACACTGGAGAAAAACCTTATCAATGTGACGATTGCAATAAACGTTTTACAGACTCGAGCAGTTTGAAAAAACATAAAAGAACACATACTGGCGAAAAACCTTATGAATGTGAGGTTTGCAAGAAAAGCTTTATATTTTCAAGGAGCTTACGAATACATAAAAACACACACACTGGAGAAAAACCTTATCAATGTGACGATTGCAATAAACGTTTTACAGACTCGAGCAGTTTGAAAAAACATAAAAGAACACATACTGGCGAAAAACCTTATGAATGTGAGGTTTGCAAGAAAAGCTTTATATTTTCAAGGAGCTTACGAATACATAAAAACACACACACTGGAGAAAAACCTTATCAATGTGACGATTGCAATAAACGTTTTACAGACTCGAGCAGTTTGAAAAAACATAA